AATGGGAGCCCACCATGAAGAACAAAACTGGAAAACCTAAGTGCTCCCTCTAGGACTCTGAGTCCTCAGCCTAATTTGTTTGTAAATACGGGTATTCCGCCCAACCAGCCTTCACAAACCAGTTCTGTCAGCAGCAACAAGCCCACCTCCTTCCCCTACACACCCACCTGTTGCGTCCTGAGTCTCTAAACCCTTTGGCGAATGGATTCCTATCGATCTTCAGACGAGTTATCTGTGAAGATGATTAGAGAAATTACTATCTGCAAATTCACCTAAGGAACACATAAAATTAGTCTCCTGACAGAATTAAGCCAACAGTGGAGCAGAAACATCTTCGCATTTGCATAGTTTATGATGGTTGTCCTGGAACACAGCACAAGGTAAGGGCCAGCCTTCTGATCATTACTTTTGCAAATCCCCAGAGAAGCTAATAGGTGTTTAATGCTACTAAATGGCAGGCTGGAATTCTTGAGAAAAATCTTCTGGCAAATGTCATTCTTCACCTAAGAGAGTGCACTGCCTAACTGCAATAAAATTTAAATTAAATTTTATTTCTGTACGGGTCAAGAGGAAATGTGAAAAGAGAGATTATCTCTATACTATGATCCTCCATTAGAAAACAGCAAACCCCACTCAGTACTTGTAATTTATTTAAATAGAGAGGATAGGCACCAAATAAATATCTATGTGTATTTAACATATATTTTTACATATATCATATATATTTACAGAAATTACACATCTCTCCTGCTCTTCTCTTTGAAAATACAGAAAGGCATGTATGATTTCCCAAATTAAAGTTGCAGTAACTTACATGGAAATAATAAAACATCACAATATTAACTGTGGTGTCACTAGGTATGTTAACACTTCAACAGGTGGTAATAACAGCCAAATATTGGAGCCACAGAACCTGCAGTTTACTTTTGCCTTTGAATCTGTGTGGATCCAGATAAATTGCAGTTAATAATGTACACTGAATGCTATTAAAGAAAACAACTGCAGACCTGTTTCTCTGTTAAGACGATCCTGGAAGTTTTGAACTCACTGGAGTCAGGAACAAAAGTACTTTAAAAATTCTATCCAGACACATTCTACATGTAAAGGTACAAAAACACTTTTAAAAATAAGACTGCTCTTTTCCCTGTGCTTCAATGCTGTACTTATAATTAAGACACCATTAACTATGCTAATTACCTGTGTAATATTCATGACAAGAATTACTTTTTACATGCAGCATGTAGCCCACATGGCCTGAAGTCTCAGTTACAGCCTCCAGGCACTGCTGCAGCACTTAGTGAAAGCTACTTGTAATACGAAACGGGCTCAGACAACGCTTTTTAGTAAGTTGCAGAATAAAAGGATCTGCTTTTCTCCTATCTCTTACTTCCCTGGTCTACTCTGAAAAGGGGCTAAGCAGAAAGCCCAAGTTACCTGTTGATTTTGGTATGCTGTGACGGTAGTGAAAACTGTCTCTGGAAAGGAGAAGGCTTTCACCCCTTCTCCTGAAGGGACAGGCTTGACAGGGGACAGATCATCTCCACAGTCTTTTCGGATGACATGGACACGAGGCTGGTATTTATGCATAGAGTGAAGGATAATCTGTGCAGTCATGAAAGGAAAAAGATAACATTTATTAGAAAGCACACCCTGCTGCTTCAGGACTAACAGGCTTTTTGGAACTGATTATGGTATGTGTTTACCATGCCGCTTACTGGAAATCAAATGTTTTCTTTAACCTCTGAAGGTTCTTGTTACAGTAGTCTAATCCCTCTGCATTTATGTTACTGCCAACCCCAAGCGTTTAAAAAATACGACTCAGGAGCTCCAAATTCAGAAACTGCCTCAATTAAGACTGGCTCAAAAAAAAAATAAAAGGAGTGAAGTCTGGGTCTCACTGGAATTAGGAAAGTTTTGTCACTTTCTTTCCACTGGAATCTGGATTTGATCAAATAGGATTAACAGCAGGAGCATTTGCCTTTTGTTTTTGGAACCTTTGGGATGTGCTGGGAGCATTTTTTTCCCTGATACCCCAAAGGCTGGAAACATATCTTGTTTTGAACAGAATCTGAGACTCTCACACACAGAAGATGCAGAAACTTAGCCTAAAATAATACCCAAATAAAAAACTCTGAAGTGTTAATAACCCCAGATTTATAATACACACAATTAATATACAATATATCAATATACAACCCTTCCTTGCACAGACAAACTCAAAATAAATTATAAATGAGAAGTATATGAACTCACAGAACATAAAACTAAACACACAAGAAAAAACCCTCTTGGCATTTCTCCCAAATTGTAGAGAATATTTAAAGTTCAGAAATTTTCCCTCTATTTTACTCCACTTCAGTTAATCACTACTAAAATAGAAGATTTCAAGGAAAAAAAATAATCAGAAGCTCAACTATTATTGTTGGAAAGCCTAAGAAATTAGTAACTTGATAAATAAATAGTCCTATGGCTACTGGCCTGTGGAACCACTAATCAACATTCAGGGAAAGCTTTTTAATTTCCTGCTCTTTGAGTAGCCTCAGAATGTGCATGTGCTGAGGCACTCGACAGAGTCTCTATGCCAGACATCATGGAAGTTCATTCATCCAAATGACACAGAGGACATTACATTCATTTGGCTAAACTAGAGTTTGGCTAGTTTAATACACTTGGTCCTGGCCAGATGACATGACCCCGTTTTGGATAAGCCAAGTTTCTGGATAATCAGTGGTTTTATTAGCCCGTAAATAAGGTTTTGCTAATGACATCACAGGCCCCAATTAATTTGCTCAGGGAGTGCCCTATGGATGTTCTCATATGAAGCCTTTTCCCAGTTTCTGAAATCTTGCACAGAGCAAGATTTGTATAATGCAAGTGTGTATTCTCCTTTACAGCACTCCTTTCATTTCTCCACTGGCAGAGAGCTACAAAATGAAAATACAGAGAGGACAGAACATTCCTGACCCCGTTTTCCTGTGAACACCCAGTGATACCAGGGGAGATACTAGTGCAACAGAAACAAAACCATTACAGAAAGCTCTGCTCCACCATTCAAAGCCCTGGCTACTCCTGCCATTTGTCTGGGTGCCACTGAGGGTACCGTGTTCTGCCCCCACCCTGATTTACTTCACCCCACCAGCTCTACCTACATGGCGAGTGTGACCATATGCCACGATGATCCCTGCAGTTCCCAACAACTCTGCTCAAGTCAAGTCACAGCAGCGTGGAGATGAGCACCTCCCACTCCTTATCTGGGTGGCTATTGAAGCTAAATGAATCCTTGTCATCTCTTCAGAGCACCCTGGCTTGGCTCTGTGCTATACTGAAAATTCCTCTGCTGACACACTGTTTAGACAATCAGCAAACCCACAGCAGGAACTTTTCTTTATTTTGTACTGTGCCTCGTACAATGGGATTTTTGTTAATGATCAGGACTCTGAATTCTAAATAAATAATACATAACTGCAGAGTCCTGGAGAATTAGAAGCAACACTACGAAGACAGGACATAAAAGGAGTGTGAGAGGCAATACCCACTCCAAAAACCATGTAGCTCTTATTATAAGCATCACACAAAACTACTGGGAAGAAAAAGCTAAGCAAAAGGAGATTCCAGCCTTTCATTTTGCATTACTTGCACATTTAACAGCACAAGTGGAACCTAAAAGTATATATGCAGAAGCAGCAACTTTCCCTTTGTACCCTTAAAAGCCAATAATAAAACCCCTAACCAGAACAAACCCACCAAACACAAACTGGCATTATTTTCAACTCACAGCTAAGAGCCTGCCTCTCTCTACAGATCACACACACACAACAACCCAAACACTCTGTGAGGGAACAAACCTCTCCCACTAAATACAAAATTACACTCTGACCACTGCAGCTCCCAAGACTTCAGACAGAAGACACCACACCAAGGAGCCTGCCGGTAGGTGCAGGGCAAGGCAACAGCCTGGCAGAACAAAGGTGGGCCAAAGCACTGCAGAGACACAAAACTGGCAGTACCTCTGGATTTTCAGAGGTGCTGCCATGATGACACCACGGCACTGACCCTGAGCTGTGGCACAAACACCACAGCCAGCAGAGACCCCGATTCTCTTTCCCACAGGAGACGCCAATCCTCTGGCAGCTCGGCAGTGCAGAGGTTACCCAGCCACCTCCCCAGAGATGGCATGGTCCTCACCCTGATGCTGTTTTCACTAAAAATCCTCCTTCACCCTGCCTGCAAAGCCCAGGCAGTCCTGGAAGCATGTGGGGCTGAGGAGTATGGATTCCCTCTTCACAAAGACAAAAACTGCAAGTGCAAACGCTGATGTTTCCCAGCTTTTCATTGTGACAAGAACATGTAACTACCCACTGACTGTAAGCAGAGCTCGGTACTTGGAGCCAAGCCTGGGCAGAGCAACAGCCCGCCTCTGCTTCCAGCCTCACCCCATTTTCAAATGGGGAGAAAAAAAACCAAAAAACAACCACCAAGGAACAATTAACACACTAACAGCCTCATTTTCACTGAAAGTTAAAAGACGTTCCCCTGCATCAAAAAATACTCAGTTGAAAAGCAAAAAAAATAGCATTAAAAATACTGCCTTTTCCCCTCTACTGAAATACAGATTAAAAATTCCATGAAAATAGAAAACTCAGCCAGCTCTAGCCAGCCAGAGGGTGAGGCTGCTTTTATAATGGAGCACTTAGCCCTCAGATGAGAGAGGGATGAGAGACACTAATTAAGGATGCCCAGACCATGCACTTCTCAGAGTCAACTGCAAAATGCAGATTTACTTTTCCTTACCATCACAACTCAGATGAAAGACACAAATGCCACACAGTGTATGTCTTAATGATGCCATCGGGCCTTAACACCTCTATAAGCACACAATCTATCCAAAGCAGGGACTCTGTTTGGAAATCAAAAACACACAAGGAAAACATATCCTTACAGATTTTGCCTGATTTCTTCTGTCTGCAGGCAGAACCCCTGTATCAGTGTGTCCTGCGTGTACACGTACTTTAAAATCTCTCCACAGAACAGCACCGTAAAATTACATCGTCACAAACTCCCACTCAAAATATTGATGAAATTAGCAGCAGGCAACGAGGAGCCCAGAAAATGTTCAAGCAGTGAAGCAAATTGTCTTAGAGATGGCTGATGTCCTTTCAGAAGAAGCTAATCCCAGACCAACGCCACGCAAGGGGAGCTGGCTGCCACGAGCTACTGCCACAACACAGATACTGCACACAAACACCACCTTGGCGTCTGTTTGCAAATACTGTCCCCATTCCCATGGACATGGGTTATTTCTCTTGCCAATTCTGAGACTTAACACTCTAAAATAGGTAAAAAGCCTCTGGGTTGATCTCATGCAAGCTCCCTAACTCCACCCATGCAAGATCAAAACCTCGCACTGGGATTTTAACACAAAAACTGCAGAAGCTGATACCTCTGAGGAGCACAGGAAGAATAAAGGAACAATTCTGACACAGGTTAAAGCCCCCAAACCAAAAAAGCACAGAAAGTACGTCAAAAGAACAACAGCTAAAACCCAACACCGCCTGAACTACTGGAGGAATGATGGCAAAGAGTAAAGACCCCACCAAGCTTCCTCTGAGACGTTCTACCTAAGCAGAAGGGGAAGAAACAACTTTCTAACAATCTAAAATACACCCCATCTCCCATACAAGGGGGGGAGAGTTCGAACATTTGATGCAAAACCAAATATTCAAGGGACAGTTCAGCCTTGACCTCTAGCTCTTCCAATACCCCATGCCTCCCCTGGTGCCCTCTTGAGAAAAATTGTTCTTTCCTGCTTATGAAAAACAATTGGTTTTTATATTCATCACAAAATATGATTATTCGTTTTCCATTATTGCTGGAGGCATGCAGAGGCTACATAGCTTTTTCAATACAGCATTCCACACTACCATAGCTTTAAAAGAAAAAATGTACCCATTGCAAGAGACACTTCTCTGCTTTCTGCTTTTGCCTTTTCTGGTAATTATGAATGACATGTTTGCAATTTCCCAGATTTGAAAAATATGAAATTATTTTACAGTCATCCTTCTTTTGTCCTTTTATTTTAATACTGAAATTTCCATTTTGGGGAGGAGGGGCGCTGCCGTAGCTCTGAATCAGTTCAATGTGTCTCAAATCAGTGTAGTAGGGCTTTGCTTCACTACTTTCCAAATCCAAACACTTAACTAAAAACCAGAAAATTTATATCCCCCCCACATTATGAATAATGGCGTGCGGCGTACGCTACCCAGGTTTCAGTTCAGCATAAAAACAAGGCTAAGATCCGGGATGGAAAAATACAGTAATACAATTCCCCACATAGCCAAGATTTTATCACAGGGCAGTTGGTGACTGCAAGTGCACGGGTGGATCGCAGCACCCACCATTTTACCCACTCGCCTCCGCTGCAGTTTTTCAAGCCCTTACAATAGACTGAGAAAGCAACTCCCACTCGAGAGGAACTGCACATACACCAGCACTGGGGAAACGGAGGGAACTACACGTGCAACCTTCACGCAAACAGACACTGCCAAGCGAGGCGCCGTAACTCTAGCTCTGGAGAGAGGCAATATGAATTGTCTTTCTTATAAGCCTGAAGTAAAGCGCTGCTAATTAAAGAGACGTGAATACCTCCACGTTCTTTTTAAGGTTGAGTGCAATAAAAGTATGAACAGCGTTATGTGAAGGGCAGGTTTTTAAGCCTCGTTGCCACACTCGCTGGCTCAGTCCAGCCAGTCTCCTGTATTCCCGCCTCTGTAACAGAAAGCGTTGTACAACAATTTGGCAATAACAAATGGTGGAGGGGAAAAATCTCATGCTGTATTCCCGCCTCTGTAACAGAAAGCGTTGTAGCTCCTGCACAATTTGCAATTAACAAATGGTGGGGGGAAAAAATCTCATGAACTTGGACTATATATTGACAAAATACTTGGTTTAACATCACAGTTACAATTACACTGAAAGATTCATGTAGTATCTTCGTACTCTGCGCCAGGTACGTTTTCTTTCACTCCCTTCCGTGAAGGGGCAAGAATCCCGCTTAATAAACTGGGCTACGCTAAGGACAATGGAATCCATATCCTGTCTCAAAACTTGCCTCCAACATCTTAAAACTCTACCACTTGGAATCTGATGCTCCTTCTGAAAGGAAGCCAACATTTGCCATTTATTACAGGATTTTGCAAAATGAAAGACTTCACCCTGACTAAAAACAATTCTCATTTTTTAATTATTTCCTAAGGTGTCAAGTAAAACTATTTCAAGGATTGCTGGAAAGATACTGGCTTACATCTGTCATGTTTCAACAGTTTTGAAGAGAAAAGGAAATATTAACATAACACATTTTGTCACATTAGATAATGTCATAACTAAACAATTTGGAACTTGCAAACAGAACACTCACACTGCATACGTCTTCGCCAGCTTCTTCTGAAGTAATGAGCCTCAGCTGTGAAAGGCTCTTACTTCATAAGGTATGTAATAAATCATTATCAGAGTGAACCCAGCTCCCATGTTGTTCGTTTTTGACTGTAATTATTAACACCTCATGGGATTTCACACAAATGTTTAGGTTAAGAAAACAGTTAAGTGCATTTTTATTCACATGAAGTTATTACACGCTATTAATGTTTCTTCTAGCCACTTGCGAATTTAAGCGTCCTTTTTGATCAGAGCAGAAACTGCAAGTAAAGCACTTGGTGGGAAAACATGAGAGCAATTCTGCCCCTTCATATTAGGCAATTTAGCCTTGTAAAATCTTACTTTGCAGAAGGAGTTCTGTTTTTGAGGGAGGAGTAAAACAGCAGGCTCTAATAAGCAGTTAATTATCAGAGCAGAAAGTAAGCAGATTTTAGATCTGGACTCTGAAGTTCCAAAACAGCTCTGGAAAGTCAAGCCTATTTCTGGCACCCTGAAGCTGTACGTCAGTCTTTCAGGGCTAAGTAATGTGCCTACATATGATACTGCAGAAGAGCAAGTACTCACATGCCCTTGATCGTCCAGCTCATTATTGGTAAGCTTCAGCTTGTCAAAGCTGATCACTTGTCTCATCCACGTCTCCCCAGAGGCGGGTGAATCGGGGTGAATATAAACACGAGGAGGTACTGGGGAGTCAGCATTACCAGCCACCATCCACTTGGAGCTATGATAAACATACCTATAAAAAGAAAGCAAATACCTATAACCACAAAACCCGAAATAATTTATCAGACTCACTGCTCACTGATAAATTAGAGCCCATACATACAGCAAGAAACCACGGATGAATGAAGCGAGAAAGGACAATAAATAAAAGCTATTTTTTTTGTTTCAAAACACAGTTTTGGTACCTGCAAAAGTAAGGTTAAAAACCATGCTCTGATCTGACCTTAGTTGTCTTAAAAATCAGTAACAATCTTAACACTAGGCTCCACACTGAGCTTCAAACTGATGTCAGGCTCATTGATTGCTACAGCCCTGCTCTGAATAGGCACCAGCAAACAGGGAAGAATCTGATCCCTCATTTATCCAATTGAATAGTAATTCCATATTTGGAAGCTTTAACATGTTGAATCTAATATAAGAGTCTATAAATAAAGCTATTGAAGGGAAAAACCATTGCGATTGGGAAAAATAATGAAACTGTCAAACTATGCTCTTGCTATTTCTGCAAGACCATATTAATTGTCTTGAATAGTATTGCAGAAAGACTCCAAAATGAAAAAACACAGCCCATATTTCATTTGATAGGCAAACGCTGACAAAGTAATTTTCTAATAAAAATAGTGCCTGCTTTGGTAGAAAATTTATTTTGAAGGCAGACACTTCACAAGGCACTAACTTCACTAAAAAGCACTAACTGGAAACTTCAAGTATATTTTTTTTCAAGTACAGTAAAATTCCACAAATCCCGCTGCATTTTTTTTATACGAACAGGAAAGGTTTTATCAAATCCTATGTTTGTAAAATCCAGTTCCTTATTAGAAAAAGGTGAACAACATAACTGGAAATTAAACCAAAATTATCCAATACATGCATTGCTCTGTACAGTGCATATCAAGCTGTAAAACTAAGAATGAGAATGGTAGTGAAATTCTCTCCTGGAGACAAATTCTTAACCTCAGATCACACACTATACTATTGTAACATTTTTTCATTTATTTTATATTTGATGGTTTATACTAAATGTATGCCTCCCTTACAAAAGCAAATTAAGTTATAAACAGACATCAAATATTTTGAGCAACACCTTAAGATTCCAAATATTTACAATAAGGTTCAATTTTGCTAGAAATCTAGACCTGGGTGTATTTTTCTTTATTTCCATTCAGTTTTGCTATCTGCTGTGAAAGCTGAAGGTCAGGCTCCATGTGACTGCTTTTGTATCTTTCAAATTTGAAGATGTGCAAGGCAGTCCACAGAGCCACATGAGCAGCCAAAGTTAATGTAACAGCAGTAAGAAAAATCAAAGCGTGCACAGCAGAGAATGAGAAATGGCATCAAGCAAAGCATGAAAAACATTAATATTTAGGAGGAAGGTTAAAGGCGTGGTTCTAATTTTATTATCACAGAAATTTCAGTTTGCCAACTAAGAAAACACTGCCCTTCATACAACTCTGATTGTTGCTGCAGTTATCCGGGCACCAGGCACAGGGTGCAGCTCAGAATCATTGTATTTCTTTTAAATTCAACGAGGTTTAAACAACTCGTATTCAATATAACTGGTTTTAATTGTTAATATTAACATCTTCATTAAATTTTGAATAGGTACCTCGCTTTTTCTACGCATTAAGGAATTGCTCAGACCTTCTAGAAATTGTATACTTAGTTTTTTAAGCAAATGCACACATGCAACATGAAGCAAGAAAAGGGCTTTCATACAAGCTGCACTGCACTGATCCAAAGGAAAAAAGCATTTTTTCGCTGTGGTACAGACAGAAAACCCTCCCCTAGCTGTACGAAATGGACATCCTCAGCACTGGAACCTAAAAAACAAGGCACAAAATTCAAGATAGTCCTAGGAAACGTCTTAAATACCACAGGAGAACGGGAGAAAACTGCAGTCCATAAGGTAGGGATGCCTAAAACACATGTGGCAGTGCTCGCTTAGGAAACAGGGCAGCATTCCTGCAGGACCAGCCTTTTAGTTTTATCCTGAAATATTCCTAGTCCTACAATTAAATCTGCAGCGGCTTTCCCTGCATTATAGTAAGTATGGGGTGGAAACAATCAAAGCAGCAATTGGGAAGGACCCGATCCTGCCTCCACTGAACCCCTTGGCGAGGCTCCTCACGGCTCCTGCAGAGCCTGGGATCGCATCCGCAGCCCAAGACCTACAGAAACGTCTGCAGCTCCCGACAGCAACTGCAGCGGGGCCCGATCCTGCAAACATCCCTGCAGCACCCGCGGTTCCAGCAGAGTCCAACCAACTCCCTCAGAAACACGACTGCCCTCCAAGAGTGAGAGTTTCAGCACGTAATTCCTACTGTTACGTGTTCAAAGAACAACTGGGTTTGTTCCTGACATTATTCTTCAAACAATAATGCCATTAATTCTTTAAAAAACCGGTAATTAGAAACATTACCCTTTGTGAATCTAAGCAACCAAGTATCTGAGTGATAAACAGCTTTTAAATTAAAATACACGATCATTCTAAAGCGTGACTAAGAAATGTTACATGCCCTGAAATCAGACACCAATACTATTAATGTTAATGCTAGTTAATTCCATTTAGCACCAGAAAAAATGTGCGTTTTCATATTTATTTGCTGATGGGAAACCATTCCCACTGACATTATGAGGAATAAAATACTGCAACGTTTCCTGACCACACTAGAATTGCACTCTCTGAAAGCCAAAACCTGACCATAACCCCACAGCACATACACGACATGAGGCAAACGTATCAAGAGCCTCAACAGACATTTTGGTTGGTTTTGCATACTTGGCACAATTTCTTCTTTTTCTAAACGCACTAGGATGAAAATAGGAAACCGAAGGAGAGCTAAAACACGACCTTCTGCTAATTTATATAGTGTTAATGTTTTCTCCCCATAGCCAAGCTCCCTACGGTTTGCATCATATGTTTTTTGCCTTAAAAAAGTCACCGTACCTGTATCTTTTGTTATCCACTGGCACAATATCCATAGCAATATAATACTGCTGATGTGGGTCTAAACCTGAGATCTTCACTCTCATTGCGGGAAACATCCGCCTGAACATGGAAAGAGAGGGGTCATTTTTAATATGAAACAGACTCGGGAACGGTTGTTTAGGAAAAGTAACCGGTTCGTGGGATTTTTCTCGTTCTTCCTTTTAGCCTACAGAGTCCTTCTGGACGATTATAGTTACACAGCCATGAAACAGCCCACTCGATATGTCAAAACAGATTTCTAAAGTGCATTTACTCGGAACAATGCTTCGTATGTTTTGGGATACGCTTTGGGAGTACAGCTATTACCACATCATTTCAGCTTTATTGTTAGACAGTAAATCACTTGGTTCTGAGACTTTACTTCAGCGGTACAAGGCACTTAAAGCCCGTTCTGAGATACCAGCTAGGGACACACCTCCGGAGATGTGCGAACAGCCACCTCCACCCAGGAACACCAAACACTTGGGAGCAACGCAAATCGCTCCTGAAGGCTCAAACTGACAGCAGCAAATGGTGCATCGGTTCTGCAGCAGCACGTCGGGCGGCTTAAATCCGCAGGGATACACTGAGGAGCAGGGGATGCAGCCCCAGAAGCCAACGTGTCCTGCTGGAACCCAGCAATATGGTCTTTATTGAGACGGGACTTCCTGTCTGCAGCTTGCTGAAGGTGAAGTGCAAGAGCTGCTCTTGTCTTTGAAAGGTACAGTAAAACTTCTTTATTGAAAGCAGAAACCAATCTACCAGGTAATTGCTAAAATAATAAAATAAAATAAAATTCAAAATGCATTCAGTTTCCTCTGCAGAGAAGAATGAGTGGCGAAATGATGCGATAGTTTTAACATAAAAACGCGTTTCTGAGCTCACGCTTGGCGTGCCTTTTATCAAAAAGGCAGAAAAAAACCCAAAACAAACATACTTATATATTCTGGAAGCCAAAAAACCCCCCCGCACCGTCCTACTGACCAGCTAACGAAAGGCACTTTTCTGTATTTCAGAAACCTTAAAAGCCATTCCAGTTCACTCAGTATTTGCTGCTGTTCAAATATACCTACATATAAACATCAATTAAATCTCGTTGCTGGAAAGAAAAACCCTATCTCCGTTCCTCCTGGATAAGCAGGAGGGCGAACCTGACTGCGGTTAACTCGTTTTCGCTGTTATTTCAGTGCACCTGTAAGATAAAGCAGCAAAGCCCCGACTGGGCTCTCTGAAGACAAATGTTGCTTTGTGCTGTTTCAAGGCTGCGTTTCAATCATTAATAAAGCCTCTCTGAAAACGCAGACGGTAGCATATGGATTTAATAAAATATGTTTTTGTAATTTCTAATAAGTCCAGAAACGTTTCATACTACCCAGGTTTTCACCATGTGTACCCGGCCCTGGGAAGGGGAGAAGTTTCCCCTCCGAAGGGCACGGCGCTCCCAGACCTCGCCCTAAGGAGCAGGGAACCCGGAACGCCCCGCGCCCGTTTTCCCCATCTCCCTGCCTCCTAAATCAGCGGAATTCGGGGTTTTCTTCGCCCCCCCCAACCCCCGTTGTTTGTTTGTT